ACAGAATCTGGCGCCCCGACCGGGACTAGAACCCGTTGTGCTGGCGCCACAATGCGGAGGATTAGTCTATTGAGCCCAGGCGCTGGCCTTTTTTTTTTTTTTTTTTTTTTTGAAATCCGTGCATAGGTTTTACATAACACAGGTTTTCCACAAACTGTTTTGATCGTTGAGTGACACTATAGTTAAATTTTTAAACTTTTGCAATTTGAAAAAGAGAGGACTATTTAACAGATACACATAACCTAAAATTATGAAGTCCCCCTTTAGAGAGATACCCTAGAGGAACACCTTGAACATGTGCCTAAGAATACATAAAGCATACCCTTTGCTGTCTTCCTTGTAACAGGCAATATTAGTAATGTTAATGAGAGTTTATTTCATTGCTCTTCATGGCAGCTTTTGCCTACTTGTTTTGTTTAGTTTTCAAATTATCTTTAGATCCAATTTGCCTAGCTCTAGGTGGGGAATCCATTGATATTTTAATAGTCTAGCTTTAAACATATATATTACCTTGAGAGAACTGACATTTCTATGAGGTTAAGCTATTTTATCCTCAAACACATAATATCTTTCCACTTGCTTACATTTGCTATTCTTTTTTGTTTTTATGGATTTTTTTCTCATAGAGTTTAGAGGGTCATCATCCCTTTCTCATTCTCAGACCATTGGTGTGGGAAAAGTGGAGCCTAATCTGATTGCTTGGGAAGAATGAGCACATGACCTGTATCCAGTCAAACAAAATAACAGTGCTGGATTCAAGAATGGACACACGTCCCCGCCTTGACCGGCGAGCATCAGTGTAAGAACTGTTTCTGGTTCCACAGGAGAGAGAGATGCTCTCTCTGCTGGCACTGCAAAGTTGGTAGAATATCAACCTTCAGCTGCTTGGAAAGAGCATAAATACCTAGCCAACAACTAGAGAAACACAAGTCAACTGCTAGAGGGAATCAGATTCTTGGCAATTTTTGCAAACCAGGATCTAGCTGTGCCTGATAATATGCCAAGATCAATATATTTATTTTCTCTGTTTAAGCCATTTCAAGGTGAATTTTTATTATTTATAACTGAAAGAGCCAGTATGAATAATACTGTTATTATTTTGGAATTCCATGTACAGCATGATTCCACTGTCACAGAGTCATTCCTGTCATCTACCTCAGGAACTTTCATCTCACTTCAGAGTTAAGCTCTTTTTTCTTTTTTTTTTTTTAAGATTTATTTATTTGAAAGGCAGAGTTAGAGAGAGAGAGAGAGGAGAGATTGAGGGAGAGAGAGATCTTCCATCCATTGATTCACTCTCCAAATGGCTGCAATGGCCAGGGCTAGGCCAGGCCAAACTAGGAGGCAGGAGCTTCTTCTGGGTCTCCCATGTGGGTGCAGGGGCCCAAGCACTTGGGCCATCCTCCGCTGCCTTCCCAGGCCATTAGCAGGGAGATGAATAGAAAGTGGAGCAGCTGGGACTCGAAGCAGCGCCCACATGGGATGCTGGCACTACAGGCAGAGGCTCACCTTTCTATGCCACAGCTCCGGCCTCCCAGAGTAAAAGTCTTGAGATAGAAGAGGGACACATGGGAGAGGTTCAAGCCCTTTTCTAACCATAGAGACCTCTGACTAGCAACCTACCCACATCATTCCAGAGTTTGTCTGAAAATTCTTTTGCTTCTGCAGCTGGGCAAGTGGCTCTGTGCTTAGGGCTATGCAATTAAACTTAGAGTAAGGATTTTTAGCTTCGAAAGAAATAGCCTCTTGAGATCTGTTTCTTTCCTCCCACTAGATGATGTTCTCTTGAGTGCAGCAGTCCTGACATGTCTGCCTCTTTTTTCTGAATACGAAGATCAGCCTCCTTGTTATTGCTTTGCAAAGCAGAGATACACTTTGTAACAGATTAAACACATACAAAGGACAAAAGAAAGGAAGCTGGGACTACTGTTTCTAAGCAGTTTAAATATGTGCAACCAAAAGCTACAAGATCTCTTTAATATACCTGTCCTCAGTTCACATATTCTGCTGCTTATTGCTGGAATCATAAAATGCAAAGATCCCGCAATACAACAAACGCAGCAAATGTGCAGAACACCGTTTCACAGCAGGGGCCTCAGCGTATCACAGCATGTGGCTCTGCCTCTCAGTGATGGGAAAAGCCTGTCGCAGTCTGACTTTCCAGCTGATGCTGCAGCCTTCTTCCATTCTGGATAAGCAATTTCTGTTCTTTGATTTTCCTTGTTGATTTCAGACATGGTTAATACAAATCTGGCTCAATCTAGCCATCTGAAGTTTCTGGAGAAATGACATTTCCATCCTTGGAAATCTAAAGTAAATTTGTAAATGTTCCTATCACGTTCTTATCACGTTATATATTCCAGCTATAATATGTGCATTGGCAAGTAACTGCCTTGTTTCTCTTCATCCATTCTAGAATGAAAGTTATGTTTATATAACATGTACTCCACAAAATCTATCAGAATCTTAAGAAACTTTAATCACTGCTTCCATACATTTGTTCTATCTTTAATCTTTAAGCATTTATTAAGTACTCAACTTCTTGATTTCTACACTAAAATTCATTTTTTTTCTCTCCACCCCCCCTCCCCGCTTCATTTCTTTCTCTTTATCATTTCCTTCCTTCCTTCTGCTTGTGAAATTTCCTTTGCCAAACCCTGGATTAATTTTCTGTGTGAATGTACATGTGTCTTGTGTTGATACAATTAAATCAATCTGTTACAGGTGCATTGACTTGGCCCTAGTTTTTGTTTACTGGGGAGTTTAGGATATCCCCACATACCTGCAGGAATGGTGGAGAAGATAAGCCAGGGTCCATTGCAACAGGCAAAGCAGAATTTCCTGAGAAAGAATTCATCCTAAGGGAAGAGTCAAGATGTAGTTGTAGGGTTGGGAACAGTGAGTCCTAGATGAAAGTTAGGCAATGAAAGAGTGAGAAAATGCTAAAGTTTTCAGAAGTTAGTGGGTCAGAACAGTTAGCACTGAAGCTACCAGTCTTAGCAGCATTGGAAGATGGCACCCTCCACCATGCCCATCTGACTGCTCTGGCCTGGACTTGGGTCAGACCCAACCGACCCTTCTGACTCCCTGGCGAAAAGTACTTGGTTACAAAAAGCCATCAACAAGAAAAACTGACCATCACTGGACAGACATCCATGGACACTCACAGACGCATTTCCGTTTTGAGCCCCAGTGGCAATAGCAACCATCACAACATCCAAGGAGCAGAGAGAACTATCACCCAGCACTCAACATTAGAAGCTAGGAGGGATCAGATTGTGCCTGTCTTCCTAATTATTATTACCCCAGCATCTAGCACAGTACCAAACACAGAGGAGGCATACATTAAATATTTATGAGATGAATAAACTAGAAAATATCCACAGCACTGTTTCAACTGTAGGAATCAACTCCAAAGATTGTCTTTAAAAATGTATGAAGGCGATGTTTGTGAACACTTGTGAAATCAAGGTGACTGTGAACAGTCTCAAAGAGGCAGAACCAGCGTTTGACTGTAAGTAGAATCCTAATCAAGTACATCAGGCTCACATTTGGGAGAAAAACCACATGACTAGAAGATGACAAGCCAAAGAAACAGGAGAAAAAAACAGAATGCTTGAGGAAGAAAATGTTGACAAATAACTGTGCAAGTGTTGCCCAGGGGAGAAGAAATTTTGATTCAACACTAACATGTTGAGTTTCTTGGCAACAACATCCCTAGAGTATCTCAATGTATCCTCAGACAATTACTTGAATTAAATTATTCCTGAAGTTTGGGGTTCCCTGTTCACCAAACTTCTGCCAATCCAGGCATGCTTATCTCTAAAATGTGATGATTTGGTCTATAGGAGACAAGCATCTGAGAGTTTTGGTAATGCCAAGCTGCCCAAAGGGATGGCCCTCTTTCCACATGCTGGTAACTGGAATTTCTGAATTTCTGATCTGCAGTGCTGAGAACTATCTCTGCTCTGATGGTGGTGGCACTCCCAGGTGAATGCCGCAAGCTATGTAAATGGAGCATTGTCTAGCTAATCTTCCAGAACTGTCTTCTCTGCCCTGCCCTCTGCCTTTGCCAGTATCACCAAAGAAGAAAAATGGTCGACTTAGAAACCAGTGGTTTGAAGGAATACAAGAAAGACCCTGGAGTCTCCCAGAAATGTATGAAAAAATTTTTTTTTAATTCTGGATTTTTCTACTGAGCAAATAGAAGTAGAAAAAAAGAAACTACTTTGTGTCTGTCACTGTGACTCTATTTTGTTTTGTGCCAGTGTTTTCCAGAGACATCATATTTATCACAAATATGATGCCATCCAAAGTCACCTACTGTTTGTTTCTGTGTATCCCAAGTCATCAGTCACCTCCAACTTACCTGGCTCATCTTGCTCATTGGTTGTCTTTGTGCCTATGAAGTATTTCACATTGTAGACTACCAGCTCTTCCTGGCAACTTCTTCTTCATCAAGAACAATGGGATGGCACTATTCTGCCTCTCTCCCTGCCTCTCCAGCCCTTCACTATTTCTAATTCCTCCTCCCAAGGCTAACTCAAGTTTCAGTATTCAGATGTCCCTGTCTTTCCTCCCAGCAAGTCCTGACCCATTCTGATTATTCCAAACACACTCCACCAATATTCACTTACTGGTGAATATTCCTGACTGGTGTTCTGAATGTTAGATCCATGTTCACAGCGGACTACTGAACATTTAAGTGCTGGTCACCTCTCATCACTTCCAACAAGGTGCAGCAAAACATTTGCACTTCCTACTGCAAGGAACAAGATACACAAACCAAACCAGCCTAAACATAGATGGAAATTAATGAGTCATGTCCAGAGATAGAGTGAATTTCAGAATTCTGGCTTCTATTTTTATCTACTTCTTCTATTTCCTTCTAGGAGTTGCATTAAACCTTAAGCAAGGTTTTGTGCTGTCTTCGTTGGTTCATGCTGCTGAACAAAATACTTTAGAATAGATAATATATAAACGAAAAATGTATTTCTTACAGTTCTAGAAGCTGGGCCATAACAGAGATGCTGCAAAGTTCAATTTTCGGGTGAATACTTTCTGCTTCCAAGATGGTGCGTCTTGCTGCATTTTCACATATGGACGGAGCAAAAAGGAAAAGCTGGTTCACTTGAGCCTGTGTGTAAGGACAATATTCTCAGCAATGAAGACAGAGCCCTCATGATCTGACGACATTTTGAAAGCCCCACTTCTTTGTTTTTTTTTTTTAAGGACTTACGTACTTATTGGAAAGGCAGAGTTACAGAGAAGCAGAGGCAGAGAGAGAAAGAAAAGAGAGGAAGAGAGAGAGACTTCCTCCACTGGTTCACTCCCCAAATGGCCACAACAATCAGAGCTCGGCTGATCCGAAGCCAGGAGCCTGGAGCTTCTTCCCGGCCTCCCATGTGGGTGCAGGGGCCCAAGGACTTGGGCCATGCTCTGCTGCTTCCCCAGGCGCATTAGCGGGGAGCTGGATCAGAAGTGGATCAGCTGGGAGCCTAACCAGAGCCTATAACAGAGGCCAGCACAGCAGGCAGTGGCTTTACTCAGTATGCCACAGCACCAGCCCCAAAGTCCCACTTCTTAATACTATTGCCTTGAGGAGTAAGTTTCAAAATGGATTATGGAGAGACACAAATTCTCAAATCAGAACACATGGAAACATAGGATTATAGTAGTTCCAGGGCTCAAATGCATGTACAGATGGCCGAAGAAGACAGCCTCTCTCCCCCAGTCATGGAAGAGTCCTTCACGGCTTTATTCTGGCTGATTGGAATCAGCACCTACCTCTGGGTCATCTCTGTAGTCAGAGAAATGCTATGAGCTCTTGCTGTAGGGCATGGCTACAAGCTCATTCTTGAGTCAGCTACTTAAGCAATTCACATGGAGAACTGATTAGCATGATTAGCCAGGTTAGGACAAGGCAAGCCTTTGTTTGGAACAAAAGGTGTGGTCAATACCATCAACAGCATGGCTGCTCCAAAGTGGGAGAGCATAGAATGGATGTGGAACCTAGAGAAAAAGAAGAAGTCTATCAAGGGTATTCACAAAGATCCTGGACAACACATATTATGAAAAAGCTATCCATGGATTTCTTGTTTTTTTTTTTTTTTTTTTGCACCAGAATAAACTTATCTTTTCATTCCATTTTTCCATAAAGTTTTTGTAGTCCCTTTATCTATATTGCAGACAGCTAGTTTACTTCAAATGCATTTGAACCAGCTTCAATGATATAGTTCAAAAGTATATTCTCGGGCTGGCGCCGCGGCTCACTAGGCTAATCCTCCGCCTTGCGGGTTCCAGGCTAATCCTCTACCTAGCGGCGCCGGCACACCCGGTCGGGGCGCTGGATTCTGTCCTGGTTGCCCCTCTTCCAGGCCAGCTCTCTGCTGTGGCCAGGGAGTGCAGTGGAGGATGGCCCAAGTACTTGGGCCCTGCACCCCATGGGAGACCAGGATAAGTACCTGGCTCCTGCCATCAGATCAGCGTGGTGCGCTGGCCACAGTGTGCCAGCCATGGCGGCCATTGGAGGGTGAACCAATGGCAAAGGAAGACCTTTCTCTCTGTCTCTCTCTCTCACTGTCCACTCTGTCAAAAAGTAAATAAAAAATAAAAAAAATAAAAAAAGTATATTCTCTATGTCTCTAACTTCCAACAGTATACCAGACATAATTTAATCATTTAATGATGATTTGAGGTCATCAAGATATACACTTATTACTGTAACAATTATAATACAGTGACTGACCCCAGGAGTTACTGAGCTGTGCATGGTTGTGGCCCATTAAATAAATGCCTCCAGAACACTATGCATTTTAACAAATTGTTCTACTTTTTACGACTTTTCTTTCTCTTCCCTTTCTCTAAATTGCCAGTTCTAATCTACAGTGGAATTGGGAACCAGATAATGAACCTTTTAAAACTGCATATAAATTAAAAGTAAAAATGAAATTGCCTGAGAGAAAATATGCCAAAATGTGAACTATGCTTGCCTCTGGTTAGGGGCATTAACTTTTTTTTTCCTTCCTCATTATTTTTTTTTCTATAATGATTAAGAGTAACTTTTATGAACACACACACACACACACACACACACACACAACTGAACAAAGTAAATAGGAGTTGAGTGATGCCTTCAAATTCTCCATGTGAAAAAAAAAATGCCCCAGCTATTGATTCTTGCAGTGTGGGACAGCTTCCTAGCAGACTGGAAAGCTTGTTGCTGGATTCTTGGTTGCCTGGAATGCAGTGAGTTAGGGAGGGTGCACAGTTGAGGAGAAGAGTTTATGGAAAAGTCATTGTGAATAGCAGCCATCTATCTGTCATGAGGCCTTACCAACAGGCAGAGACTGGCCCTGGGTGTCACAGACAGGCTGGCAGTCTCGCCTGTGCCGCAGGGCTGGACAGCACAGGGGGATGATGACTCAACCCTTTGGAAGCTCAGAAGGAACAATGTCATGTGAGATAACAAAAAGGGGCCTGCTACTCCCAAGGAATTCCTCTTCCTACATAGAAATTAAAATGGGGATCCAAATTATAATCAGAAGGCTGAATGCAGAGAGCAAAAAGTTAGAACAAACTATGAAGTAGCATAAGCAGCCTGGGGCATCCATCCGGAACACTCTAGACCATATCTGCCAATCACACCAGCCCCAGAGACTCATGCCCCTCCAAACAGTACTTGCGGGGAACTGCCAAACTTTGTCTCCATGACTTTCTTTTTTCTTGATTTCCTTACCAGACAACCCCCTTCCTAACAAGCCATTTCTTCTTTGGATATGTTAGCACAATCACAAGAGTGGGTGAAAGTTATTGCTGTTAATGTTATTTTTCATACTTTCCTTTCTAAGTACAGCTGTGGGAGAGCTGTTTTTTTGTGCCTGGACCACCTCCTGGTTACCTCCCTCTCCACGGATGACACTCAACTTCTAAGAGAACTGAAAGCCAAATAGAAAAGGATTCAGATCAGTGTAAAATCCAAACTCATCTTTCTTGCAGTTTGTTTTCCATTTTTTGAATGAATTGTATGCTCTTCTCTCAGTTACTGCTCAAGTGTTGGGGAGGCCCAGGCTCATTCACTCCTCCTTCTCAATGTCTCTCCCATTTTTACTTCCATTCTATTCCCACTGTCCCAATTCTTCATCTCAACCTAAATTTCTACAGTTCCCCAGTAACTGATTCCCTTGCCTTTAGTCTCTTCCTGTTGACTGTCGGCTGCCTAGTGCCGCCTTCATAGTCTTCTAGAAACTCTCTCCTTCGAAACATACATAGGCTCTTCATTGCAATTAAGTGCAAATGCCTTAGACCATGGCTCAGAGCTTTGTCTGGTATTGACATTACCTTCCGTTGCCTCTAGGCATGAGCCCTCTGTTTCAGCTTTTCTGTGTTCCGTATGCACAAATAAATAAAAAAAAGTAAATAATACTTGTGCTTTGCAATGCTAACATACAGGGAGGAAATTAATATAGACAGTTATGAAGATTTGCATTTCCACAATTCATTCAGCTTTTCTATTTTAAAAGATTTATGTATTTATTTGGAAGTCAGAGTTACAGAGAGAGAAAGGGAGAAACAGAGAGAGAGAGATCTTCCATATGCTGGTTCACTTCCCAAATGGCCAGAATGGGCTGGTCCAAAGCCAGGAGCCAGAAGCATCTTCCAGGCCTCCCACATTGATGCAGGGGTCCAAGCACTCAGGCCGTCTTCTGCTGCTTCCCCAGGTGCATTAGCAGGGAGCTGGATCTAAAATGCAGTAGCCGAGACTTGAACTGGTGCCCATCTGAGATTCCGGCACTGCAGATGGCAGCTTTACCTGCTATGCCTGCTATGCCACAGCGCCATTCCCAACTCATTTGACTTTAAAAATTTTTTTTCTTAAGGGTGGGCATTTGGCACAGTGGTTAAGACACAGTTTGGGATCCTTGCATCTCATATCCGAGTGCCTGGGTTTGTGTCCTGGCTCCACTTCCGATTCCAGCTTCGTGATAATGTGCACCCTAGGAGCCAGCAGATGACGCCTCAACCAGTTGAGTCCCTGCCACTCACATGAGAGACCCAGATTGAGTGACAGGCTCCTGACTTCAGTGTGGCCTAGTGCTAGGTGTTCTGGGTATTTGAGGAGAGAACCAACAAATGGGTGCCCTCTCTCTCTCTGTGTCTTTAAAATAAATAAATAAATTTCCTCCCTTTACTTTCACAAGCACATACATTCATAGAACTATGGTTGGTTACCAGGTAACCTACAGGTGACAGTGACTTCAGTCACGGTTTTGAAGGAAACCTAAACCTGCCCAGTACAGACCCTTATTCAATGACAGCATGAAACAGGGTATTGATTTAACTATTGTGACTTGGGCCTATGGTGGTACAGAAACATCCTGGGACATAAATATTTAACTTGACAGAGATCCTGCCTATTCCTCATACAGGATGTGGCCTTGAAGAACACGACATAATTGGGAAGAATTGGCCACCCTTTAATAAAGACCTGATACAAAGTCATTTGTCCATAAACGAAATATACTGACTCACCCAATTCAAATGTCCGGACAAGTTGCTTCCAAGTGTTCATACGGGAAGTTCTCCGTATTTTAGCACCGGCTTTCTCCATACTTCGTGGTCTAGTAGATTCTTTCTATTCTGGAACAAAGATGGTCAAGAGCAGCTCTAAGCTTAGCAACACCAGCAAAAGGTCACTTTCCCAATCAGTCAATAACATCCAAGGGTGGGTTCTCAGTGACCCAGATCATCACGCTGCCTTTACCGACCCAGTTGCTGTGCAGGGGAAGTGAGGGATATGATCTTTTGATTTCCTACACTTGCTCATGTACTCCTGCTTCCTTCTGAGGTCAGAGGATAGAGTCAACCTCACTGAACTGCACAGACTGGGAATGAGGGAAAAGAGGTTCTCCAAAGGAAAAAAGCAGACAGTGGGAGAATGTATGCAAGACAGGTCGATGCTAGGGCCGACTTTTACATGTGTGCACATCCGTATCACCTTTAACTACAGCACGTTCATGAATGAATCCCACAACTCAAATTCAAGATGAACTTTGACAATATGCATCAATATTTTAATATATGTATACTTAACCCAGGGAGTTCTAGGAATAATAATAACAGCTATGCTATTAAGTAGTTTACTATGTGGTAAACACTGGCCTAAACAATTCCAACATATTACTTCATTTCAGACAGAACAACTTTGGTATACAAATGATGTTTCCATCTTTGAGCTTAAGAAATTGAGTTTGGAGAGGTTACATGACTTACACAAAGTTGCACACAAATAATAGGCAAAGCCAGAAATCAGCTCCAAACTCTGAACCACTATTAGTTACTTTTCTCAAAAATCTCAATGACAATACAATCTTGAGGTTTCATTCTAAAAAAAAAAAAATACTACAGGTGAGAAAACATGTACATCCCAGGATGTTATTTATAAGCATTTGTCCATAAGAACTCAGGTGTGAAATAAAGTATCAATAAATTATGTCAACCTACACATGTCCCCTCATTATCAGTAAGTACACACTAAGTTCCTGCTTTATAAAACAATAAAAGATTAATGACTTTTTTGTAAGGCTGTGAAATTACAAGTTTGTTCAAACCAGCTGCCTAAGCTACAAAAGCATCCACAGTCAAGGTTAATCAAACAAATAGGGCCTTGTGCATTGCTTCAAATCTATCAGGATGTCAGTTTATCGTTTAGGAAAAAAATTGAATACTTAATCTGTACAACCACTCAAAATAAATCTTTATCTCTATTAGCTGTCTGCAAACAGGCAAAAGGGAGATGTAGGCTAAATTATTTAACCTTGATGCTATTCAACACTGGAACATTCCATCACATGGGAAAATGAGAGGCTGGAGAGCCCAGAGGGCCACCCCTACTACTGAGATGCTCCTGTTAGCAGTCAGAACCCTGCACTCCGCTCAGTCTCCAATCCAGGGCGAAAGAGGGAACAGACCCCTAGTGAGAACAGCTGGAAAAGCAGACATAATGGCCCAGACTCCTGCCACAGTGCCTGGAAGAGGTGGAAGAGGGGGAACTCAACATGTGCATGTCACTAGTTCATTGCTGTTGCTTCATTTAAAAGATGGATATTAAAATAAAAAGGCCAAGTTCTTGCTGGACCCCAAGTGCTGTTATTTCTTTCTTTTTTTTTTTTTTTTTTTTTGAACTGCTTGTAATACATAGAAAGATCAGCTCATTTATAGTCATGTTCTTTTTCATCATGCCTCCATTTCTCATTATTTTCAGGAATGAATCCTCTGCAAATATAGCCCCAAAACACTTCTGAAAAGTACAAGAAGGAGCATCTCATTTGCACAAGACTAATGATTTAGTCCTGTGCACTTTTAATTTGCATAATCCCTCTTCCTTTCCCCCTTCATAATGGTCTTTGATTTTTTTTTTTCCCCTCCAAATGACATGGGTTGGGAGAAAGAATTAAGCAAGCATCAAAGTTCTGGTTCCTGTGTTCTCAGCTATTACATTAATCTAAGGTTTTCTCGCCCATTTATTAAAAATCAGTGACTCGCCCAATTTTACACATAAATCCATATCAAAGTTAATTAGAATCTCAGTAGTCTGTTTGTCTTTTCCTTTATTAATTCCTGGAAGCTCGAAGCAAGGCTCTGAGTGTGATGGTGGAGGAAAGTAAACAGGAAGTCAGGAGACAGGACCTGCCCGTGATTAACCAGCAACGTTTGCATGGCTGCACCCAGGCCCCCTGGGCGGGAGGAAGCACCCGGCCTTTAGGCAGCCCAGCCAAAGGTCAGGTTGGCCTCCTGCAGAACTGGAGGAACTGCATCCTGACCCAACCTGCGAGAGAGGTTAGGATGGCGATAAGAAGTCAATAGCACAGAACAGGGCCCTGCCTGCTGACTTCTTTTTGTATTTTCCTCCTTCCATAATCAGGAAAAGCAGTCAATTATTCTTGTAAATTGACTCTCTCTCCTTCTTTCTTGAATACTTTTTTAAAAAATGTATTATGCTACTTTGCAAATCTTCTACTGGAAGCAGAAAAAAAAAGTACAGGAAATAAGTTGTGCAGAAAGTATCAGGCATTTTCATTCTGGGTTTTCAAAAAGGGTATCTAGACACAAAATGTGCACAAGTCGAATGGGGAATTGGATCTAATACACTTCTCCGTGAGAAACTGACAGCGATAGTTCCAGCGCCCAGGATTTTATTGCATATTGATTTTGCTTTAGGAGGTTTGTGTGGAAATTATATACAACAAACTTGGAAAACTGATTTTCTCCCTAAGCTGCTCTTGAAAAGTATCAGGGAATCGCCCAATGTATTTTCTTATTTTGAAGCATAGTTTGTATCAGAAACATTCTAAAGTCTAAAGAAAACGCTATGGGAAAGTCAAGAGACACACAAGCTTCTGTCACACAACAAGAGGCTTACATCACTGACAGGTAAAACAAATTGGAATGTTAGGGAATAATAAATTTATTTTACAGTAATGCATCTGAAACTACTTTTTATAAAGTCACATAATTCCAGGCTTTGTGTAAGGAAATCACTTGAAGCCCAGAAAAACTGAAAACCAAAAAAGTGTTCGCTTTAATCTACACTGCAGAGCATTCCAACTGCCTGAGAATTGTTTTCCCAGCTCAGGAAAGGCAGGAGCCCCCACAATCCGAGGGTCGCAGCTGCTCCAGTGCTTGGGCACCTCTGCCTCCTGTGACCCCTGAGCTCAGCGGCAGCCCTACCACTTCCACAGGACCAGGAGTGGACACTCCCCAGTTAGCAACCGCCTGGATCCCCAGGTGGGTCTGGTGTGCAGATGGATGGACGGTCTCCTCTCCTTCAGCCTAAGCAGTGTTTGACCCCGTCTACAAGAATCATAGAGCAAAGCCGCGTGCTCACGTGTTCCACAGTGCTGTGCATCAGCACTTTCCCCTGCCTCCACAGTGCTGTCCTTCCGCAGGATCCAGCCAGCAGCGAGGCTAAGGAGAGATTCCGGGAACAGTTGCTGCCTCATACTCAACCGTTCTTCTTGCCCTGATCATGAAGGCTTTGTTCTGGGTCAGGTTCCAGTTCCGTTCCTGTCCGAACGATTCTCACCCTTTCCCATCGCTTTCCTCTCGCCCTCAAATCATTTGAATTGGGCCACGTGCTTGTGAACCCCAGCAAAGAGCCCAGCTGGACTTCTCTACCCAGGGGCTCTTCTGTCTTCAGTTAACAAAAAACACAGCCACGCCTGAAGCCCCCAAAGGCGTTGCTAATTCCAAGGAGGGCTCCAGAAAAAGCAGAGTAAAGGCCACAGGCAGAGTCAAAAGCACATTCGTGCCTCCTAAGCAGCAGCCACAGGATTGCTTTGCATTAATGGGTGTCTTATGCCTTTTCATAGAGGGCTAAAATGTAGGTAGGGGTCCGGGTGTGCACAGACGGCTCAGATGATAAACTGCTTATAGTCACGTCTGGGCCCTAACATCAGACTTAGGCTTCTCAGTACAGGTAGCCAAGTTCACTTCCTTGTGGCAGGTCTCTTTCATTGCTACCCATACCCATTACTGTTTATTCCCTTTGAGATATTGACAAGGGATGCTTTCCAAACCTTTGACCCTTTCTTCCCCCAGATGCTACATTTAAGCTTCATTTTCACTTTTCAGTGTTCTTCCTGTCCTTTCCTGCTCCTTAGGGAGTCACTTTAGCTTTGTATGAAACAAAATAGTAAATGCAACACTCATTCACCACACTCAAAGGAAGCAAGTGTTTGATTTCCTATTTATAAAAAAGAATCATACAGAGGAGACATGTTGTGCAAGGATAGGGTCTAAAGTCACCATATGAAACAAAATCTTTTATCACCTAGATTATCAAAGCTTCCCTTACACTAAAATGGAATTCATAGTTCTAACTATACAATCCATTACTTATATAGGATTCCACTTAATATGAGACATAAAATACAATTCTGAAATTTCATTTTCCTATGAAAAGAGAGAAATTGATATTCTTCATTGTGTTCTAGATAAGCTGGTTGCTTTGCATTATTAAAACCAAAAGCAGATCTTTAAGGGCTAGCATTCCACAGAGCTGCAAGGTGTTGCACTGGGAGAGCCATGTGAGGACCCATATGACCCAAGGGAGCCCCATTTGGTGTCAGAGTAGATACACTACTAAAATGAGTACCGCTGGTGGGTGTTTAGCCTAAGGGTTAAGACAACAGTTAGGATGCCCACACTCCATCATAGAATACCCTGTGGTTAAGGCCAGCATTGTGGTGCAGCAGGTTAGGCTATTACTTGCCGTGCTGGCATCCTATATTGGAGTGCTGGTTTGAGTCCAGGATACTCCACTTCTGATCCAGATTCCTGCTAAGTAAGGCTCTTAGGAAGGCAGTAAGAAGGATGTCCCAAGTATTTTGGCCCCTGCCACCCACATGGAGATCCAGGTGGAGTTCTTGGCTCTTGGCTTTCGTCTAACCCAATGGGCATTTAGGAAGGGCATCAGTAGATGGATTTGTCTCTCTCTTTCTCTCTGTCTAACTCTTTATCCATCTCTCTCTGTGTCTCTGACTCTCTCTCTCTCTCTCTTTCTCTCTGTTGCTCTGCCTTTCAAATAAATAAATATTTAAGCAACAACAATAGTATTCTTGGGGTCAATACCTAACTCCAGATTGCTGCTAATGCAGACCCTGGGAAGCAGAGCTCAAGTGATTGGGCTCCCGCTCCCAGGTAGAAGATCTGGCTTCAGCTACAGTCTCTTGGTTGCAGGCACTGGCAGAGTAAACAAGCAATTGGGGGCTCTCTGTCTCTTTCTGCCTCTTAAATAAATAATTTTTAAAATTTCAATGAGTACTTTTGTCCCTTCTCTCTCCTATATTGTCTCATTAGTTTTTGAGCTAGCTTATCTGCTAAGTCAAGCACTTTGAGTGATTCACCATAAATGAAATGTGTATGAAACCCAGCTTCACTGTAGAGGAGAAACATCTATGGAGCTGATTATCAACTGATGTTCACTTACTCACATATTTAACCTAAATGTGAAGTCTTGCTCCCTTTGCCAAAGATTGTATCCTCCCATTGCCCCTGATGCCACACAACTCAATGTCCACACTCACACATGCATGTCTGCCTGCTTGTGGCACACACACTTGCTACCCACACAGATATTACCACCACCTCGGGGGTAGGAAATGAAATCCTATCCTCCAAAAGCCTCCATGCGATGTTCAATCAACTTCCTTCCACTAGTTAGCAAACTCCTTGGCGTGACCTCCACCTCATCCTGGACCATAGGCATGATGGCTCCTACTCCCTGCCATACCTGTGGGTGCCTGCTCAGGACCCCAGTGCCCAGTTGCTGCTGAACTCCTCAGGGCTCCACAGGGTCCTGCAGGGCACTCCGCTGCCCTCCCTGTGGCCAGCATTATTGCAATCATCACCTTTCTAACTCCAAGACTGCTGGCAGCATCTCTATCATCAGTCTTTGCTGAGGAAGCCGGTGCCACTGTTGTCTTCCTTTCCTAAAAACACCAGGAACAGGGGAAATGGAGGACACAGTGAGGTCCTGGTCAGCTCTCTCCTTCGGGAGGCTAAGGCTGAGTTACAGTAGTGCCTGCTCCAGGTTTGATGATGCAGAGATCATTAACACAAAACAGAAACAACAAGCAGGTTCATAATGCTTAGGATAGCTTAGCCACTGTTGTCAGTGCTTGGCACTCTTAAACTTATATAAGGCAATTATTTTGCCAGCCCCGTTCAATGCTAAGAGCACATGTCTACCTGGATGGCTTCCTAGTTCCAATCCCAAATGTCTCCATGCGAGGAAAATCCCTTCCTCTCCCATCCCCAGCCAGAGTGATAGTCCCATCTTCCCAGTCAGGTGTATTCAGGGAACATGAGGTATGTTCTTAGCCCCGCCTGATTCTGAGCAGACCTAGATGATTAGGGGAAAGCTTTGGCTTACTTGGGGATGATAATGTGTCCATGTATATTTTTAAATTTTCATATTATGAAAATGAATAAACAGAGTATAATGGACTCTTTTATATCAATCCTTCATCTTCAAAAATTATCTTAAAAACATCTTGCTTCTTCTACCCCCAACAAAATTATCTTGAAGCAAATCACGGACATCCTGTTATTTCATCTTAAAATAATTCAGTGTGGGCCGGCGCCGTGGCTCAATAGGCTAATCCTCCACCTTGCGGCGCCGGCACACCGGGTTCTAGTCCCGGTCGGGGCACCGGATTCTGTCCCGGTTGCCCCTCTTCCAGGCCAGCTCTCTGCTATGGCCAGGGAGTGCAGTGGAGGATGGCCCAGGTGCTTGGGCCCTGCACCCCATGGGAGACCAGGAAAAGCACCTGGCTCCTGGCTCCTGCCATCGGATCAGCGCGGTGCGCCGGCTGCAGCGGCGACCATTGGAGGGTGAACCAACGGCAAAGGAAGACCTTTCTCTCTCTGTCTCTCTCTCTCACTGTCCACTCTGCCTGTCAAAAAAAAAAAATTCAGTGTGGGGACCAGTTATCAATGTATTATACCCCAGCCCCCAAACAATCCATACTTTTTCTTCCAATGTATGATACTGGAGCTGGACCCTATGACCAGATTTTTTTGCCAACTGGGAAGACGTTAAACTTGGCCAGTAGAGGGCACCAGAGGGACTTGGTGGAAACGTGACTTTTCTGGCTCTGCTGTATTCTCCGCTTGTTCCTATAGTGAAAAATGGTACAACTTGTGAGACAGGAGTACAGCTGGTAACTCACGTGCCCAATGGTCCAGTAACTCTCATAGGTGCCCAGCAGATGTCTTCCCATCACCACTCTGCTCTCCCCTTGCAGTCCATACAACCCCAGTGAACTCCTTCACTACCCAGTAGCCACAAATGCAACTTCTCTGAGATCTGGCTCTCAACCTTGGGTGGAGGAAGGGCCACTCTAGATTTTATCCTTCCTTAACTGAACTTCCTGTGAGACCCAGAGGTCATAGCTGCTCCTTACCTCTCCCGTTCCTCTGTGCTTCAGAATTTACTCCCTCAGTCCTCAGTTCTTTGATACTAAATAAATCTTTATGTTAAGCTTTCCCTCTTTAAATTATTGTATGGTTTCTGGCTCATGATTTGAACCCAAGTGATCCAGAGGTTTCAGTTGAGCATTTGACATTAGTCTATTTTCTTTGCTTTGTTAGTGTATCAGTTAGCTTGTGTGTGTGTGTGTGTGTGTGTGTGTGTGTGTTTGAGAGAGAGAGAGAGAGAGAGAGAGAGAGAGAGAGAGAGAGTCTTCCCTAAAGCTTGCAATATACATTTACAACTACTTCAGGTCCACTTTTAAAGAGCACCATATCACTTCATGGATCATGTGGACATCTTACAATAGCAAAATAATTCTAATTCCTCCTTCCTATCCCTTGCGTCAATGGCTTTATTCTTTTCCTATATATACACGCATATATAAGCTGATACGTAGAAAGCATGAATAATCAAATATGTTCTTGGTATTATTATTTTGAAGAAATATCTGTTAGATAAAGAAGGAGTAATAAAAATAAAAGGTTTTGTCTTACCTTCACTGTTCCTTCAATTTTGCATTCTGTACATATATTCAAGGTTCAGATCTATATCATTTTCCTTGCCTCTAGAGAATTTTTACTGTTTGTTGAAAGGCAGGTCTTCTGACAACACATTCTCTTTGTGTTTGCCTGAGAAAGTTCATGTTTTTCCTTCATTTTTTGAAGGATTATTTTCCTGGTATCTTTCCAGGTTGGAGGATTTTTCTCTTAACACATTCTCCTCTTGTTTGCGTGGATACTGAGAATTTGGATATGTGTTATCTGTGATCCTCTATATAAGATTATTTATTCCTCTAACTTCTTTCAGAGTCTTGTCTTTCTCTTTCATTTTCTGTAGCTTGAATGTGCTATTTTCGGGTGTAGCTTTTTCTGGCGTTTATCCTACTTTGTCTTCTGTGAGTTTCCTGGAATGTGATTTGGTGTTGGATAATAGTTGGGGAAATTTTCAGTCATTGTTTCATTTATTTTACCTGTGCCTTCTTCTTTCTTCTCCTGGTTGTATTACCATTGCACATATTTTTACCTCTTGTCCATGTTCCACACTTCTTGGTTGTTCTGTCCTTTTCCCACCTGCACTGGCTCTGGTCTTTTTCCCTCTTTGCTTTTCAATTTTGTAGATTTCTATTGAGATAGTCTCAAACTTGGAGATTCTTTCCTCAGTAGTACGTTCAATCTACAAATTAGCCCTTCTAAGGTATTCTTCATTTCTGTTATGGTGTTTTTATCGCCCACATTTATTTTTTTATTCCTTCTCAGAATTTCCATCTCTCCACTTACATTGGTCATCTGTTCTTCATGCCGTCTACTTTATTTGTTAGAGTCCCTTGCATATTAATCACAAGTATGTTAAATTTTCAGTCTGGTAAATCCAACATCCCTGCTATATCTGAGTTTGGTTCTGATGCCTGCTATGTGTATTCAAGATGTGGGGGTATTTGCCTTTTTGGCGTTCCTTGTCACTTTTGTTATTGTTGTTATAGCTGGTCATGATGTACTAGGTATAAAGAACTGCTATAAATGGTCTTTTGTGATGTGGTGATAAAGTCCTGAAGGAGAGAAAATATTCTATATTCTTACATCTTGGTTTTCTTGCAAGTCTCTGCCTCTGGGCTGTGAACTTCACAAGTGCTTCTCAGTTCTCCCTATGCCTCTTAAGTGTGTCAGGATGATTGAAATAGGCTGGAGTTGTGTACTTCCCTTTCTTAAGGTCAGGTAAGCTCTGACAGTAGATAAAATTCTGGTTAAGTTGTTTGTCCTGGAGGCAGACCTTACTCAGAGAATGTTACGGTACATTTCAAAATGGCCATTTTCCTTTTCCCTCTGCCAGAAACAGGAGAGAGTTTTTCTTTGTCATTCACTGTGAGAATATGATACAGTACCTGGAGACAAAACTCACAAAAGTGTAGGGGACCCCTGATGACCAGGATACCCAGGAGCTGTTCTCACGGACTTTCCCCTCTGAACCTCAAGGTCTTTGTCAGTCAGAAATCAGGTTTCCTCTCCTGGCACTGGATCCAATAGAGGTTTCCACTCCTGGATTTCTGCTTTGACAGCTGTAATTCTCTGTGTTTGCCTCTCTCTCTCCAGTCTCAGGAAAGTGTGTCTGCCGTGTAACCTCCCTGCTCTTAGAGATCTAAGATTTTTTTTCAGTTTTTTCAGCTTTTTACTTGTTAAAATGGAGTACTAGAATACCAGTGTTAGCTCTTCCTGTTGATTTGTAGCAGAAGGTGTGTCATATCCGGCTATCTATTATAGTGGTCTCTCAGAATCTGTGGGGGATTGGTTTCAGACCTTCCACGGACAGCAAAATCTGTAGATGCTCGAGTCCCATATATAAAATGGCATAGTATTTTCATCTAAACTTTGTACATCTCCCATGTACTTTAGATCATTCTAGATTACTTATAATACTTACCACAAAGTGCATGCTATGCAAATAGTTGTTGCACTGTATCATCAAGGATAAGGACAAGAAAACGTCTGCCTGTGTTCAGTACAAATGTGGTTTCCTTCTAGTATTTTTGACCCATAGTTGGTTGAGTCTATGGGTGCAGAACCTTCAGATACAGAGGTCAGTGGTACTTTGTGATTGATAAGGGGAGTCCTGAATTGTCAACTAGATCCATCCACTTCAACTTTTCCAGACTGATCTGCGAAGACACTAGTCATCATTCCCTAGATTCATTATTTCATCAGAGGTAACAAAATGATTATGTTACAAAACTCCTATTCCATATTTTTATTACCTGGTAGTCCTTCTTAAAAAGAATTCCATATCAACTATTAGGTTACCCTAAGGTATGGATTCTACGGAAAACGCAGTATAATTGTTTCATACTTCTTATTTACCTATTTTCAGAATAATGAGTTTCCTAACATACTGTTAAATTTGTGTGCATTTGGGTGCAATTTTTAAACTCAAAGATTTTAACATGAGTTTCAATTCATTGTAACTATTTTGATATACCAAGTTTCCCATCTTTAGCAAAAAAAAAGAAAAAACCTTTAAATTGACTCCTAAAACCTTTTGAAATGACCCCAGTATTCTTTCTTTATTTAAAGATTTACTTTTATTTATCTGAAAGGCAGAGTTACACACACACACACACAGAGGGGGAGAGAGAGAGAGAGAATCTTCCATCCACTGGTTCACTCCCTAGCTGGCTGCAACAGTTGTGCCAATCTGAAACTAAGAGCCTGGAGCCTCATCTGGGTCTACCATGTGGGTGCAGGGGCCCAAGCACTTGGACCATCTTCTACTGCTTTTCTAGGCCATTAGCAGGGAGCTGGATTGGAAGAGGAGCAGCCGAGACACAACCAGCACCCATACGGGATGCCAGCGTCACAGGCAGAGGCCTTAACCCACTACGCCAGTATGCTGCACTATCCCCCTCCTCCCTAGTGTTCTTTGATAGCTTCCTTTCTTTCAGGTCCAACAAAGAGTTTCCATCTCATATTGTACACTTCTTACAATTTCTCCAAGGAGGTCTTATTCATTTTAATAGAAAATGACATTTCGAGGTTAAAATCTGGGTTCTAGAGTTACTCCTTACTACTCTCCAAAGAACTAGTCAGGAGGGGCCGGCACTGTGGCATAGCGGTTAAAGCCACTGCCTGCAGTGCCAGTGCCGATCCCACTCTCTGCTATGGCCTAGGAAAGCAATAGAAGATGGCCCAAGTCCTTGGGCCCCTGAACCCATGTGGGAGACCTGGAAGAAGCTCCTGGCTTCTGGCTTCGGATTGGCGCAGCTCCGACCGTGAAGGCCAACTGGGGAGTGAACCAGTGGATGGAAGACCCTTCCTCCTACCCTGCCTTTCCTTCTCTTTCTGTATAACTCTGACTTTCAAATAAAATAAGTAAATCTTGTTTTTTGTTTTTTTTTTTTAAAGATTTATTTAGTTGAAAGTCAGAGTTACACAGAGAGAGGAGAGGCAGAGAGAGAAGAGAGAGAGGTCTTCCATTCACTGGTTCACTCCCCAATTGGCTGCCACAGCTAGAGCTGTGCCAATCAGAAGCCAGGGGCCAGGAGCTTCTTCCAGGTCTCCCACATGGGTGCAGGGGCCCAAGGACTTGGGCCATCTTCTGCTGCTTTCCCAGGCCATAGCAGAGAGCTGGATCGGAAGTGGAGCAGCCAGGCCTCAAACCGGCGCCCATAGGGAATACCCGTTCTTCAGGCCAGGTTGTTAACCCACTGCACCAGAGTGCCAGCCCCCCAAAATAAGTAAATCTTAAAAAAAAAAAAAAAAAAATTGGTCAGGAAAGTGAGCTTTTTGAAAAAACATAATGCATTATGATTTCATACTGACATTTCCAATTAAAATCTAATGTAATTTACAATTTTACTTAGCATCTTAGATTCTATATTTGTCTTTCCTTGATTACTGATGTCATTAACAAAATCACATTTTATTTATCCTGCAGAATAGATATAATACACTCAGAATATTATTATTAGCAATATTAATATTTCTTAATTCATTCTTACATTGAGGCACAGCTACTAGGAATTGAAACAAATGAATTTGCTTTTAAAATACTTGAAATCATTATTTTTTGTATGGTTAAGACAACAGCAACTAGTTTTATTTGTTTTGCTTTTGTTGTGTAAACATTCTTATCTTGGTTTTGTGTGTCTTGTATGTGTGAAACATTTGCATGGTTTAAAGTCGTATCTACAAAAAAGACATTCATTCAAGAAAGCCTAGCTTCTATCCATGTCCCTTCCTTATAAGAAATCAGTGATTCATTTTTAAAATAAAAGATACATTTAATATTTCTCTTTATTAAATAATGGTAACATACTACATGTACTAGTCTGTATTTCATTTTTTTTTTTCACTAACCAAAGTATCTTGACGATCACTTCATACATATGGACATCTTTCCACCCACCCCTTTGCACAGCCTTAATAGTCCACTGGATGAGTTTATTCAACTATTCAAGAGTTTATTCAACTATTCCTGAATTGGTGGACTTCCGAGTTCCTTCTAGCCTTTATTACAGGCAATATCTCATAATTTTGCCATCTGTAGTACTGCATCAGATTTTGCTATATATGGCACACTACCTCAAAACTTAGTGTCATAAAGCACCAGTCATTAGCTCAAGATTCTGTAGGTCAGCAATTTTGGCAAGATTCGGCTGTGTCCTTCTGCCCTTGTGTCACGTGACTGAAGGCAGCTGGAGCTGGGTAGTTCCAGATAGCCTCGTTCAGTTCTGGCGGCTGGCAGACTGTCAGCCCAGGCTTCTCCAGGTTTCTCTCCCCTGGGAGGCATTTATTCAGAAAGTCTCAGAGTTTGAAGCACAGCAAAAGAGACCATGCCCTAGACACCAGAACTTTTCAATCTTCTGTGGTCATTAAGTTTGCTATTGTTCTGGACAAAGCAGGTCACAGGGACAAGTTCAGTGTCAATGCGGAAAAGGGAGATTACCCAAAGACATGACAAGGGAGGTGTAGTCCATTAGTCATTTGCAACCATCTACCATGCAGACAGGTAGCCAGAAGCGGAAATGTTGGGTCATAAGGTAAATTCAAATATAAAATGGCCAAATCCAGGGATTCTAGCTTTGCATCCCCTCAGGCTATGAATAAAGGTTCCTGTTTTCTCATCATGTCACTAAAGAGTATGTTTTCACTTTCATATTATTCCCAATCAAAAAGGGAAAAAATGGTACAGTTCAGTGACATTTTAATCTACATCCATTATCAGTAGGTTGAGCATCTTTTTATGTTTCGGGGCTACTTGATTTTTTTCTGTGAATTCATATCTCTTGTCCATTTATCCACACAATGTTTGTTCTCTGCTTTTAAAATTTTTTTACATGCTAAGAATGAGTCCTTTGTCAATGATTAAATTATACATTTTTCAGTTTATCGTTTGTCTTTATTATGTAAATATAGTCAAATATATCTATCTTTCCTTCAATGCTTCTGAAATTTCAAGACATGCTTAGAAAAAGTTTCGTTTTCAAGTATTTGTGCTAATCGTGTGACAGTTAGGGAGAGTACTAGTTAGTCCAATTCCCAACAATCGTATTTTCCTACTGATCTGAGATACCCCACTTTGTTGTAGACTGAATTTGATTAATCAGGTCTGTACGCTATTGACATTTAAAGCATTACTAATCCCAGGTGAAAATGTGACTTAATTTCTGCATTTTGTTTTCCATCTTCCATGTCTATAGCTGAAGCTATGCTTCATTTTATAACTAACTCCAATCCTGTCTCCTCTAGGAAACACTGTCCAGTGTGTTCAAAGTGTAAGTTTTTGTATGCGGAATTTTTTCATCTCCTGGTTGTGTGATCTCAGGCAAATTTCTCAATTCTTTCAGTGAGGATAACGAAAACTTCCCTCACAAGGTCACTCTGTAGATGAGCTAATACAGGTAACTCACTGGCATAGTACTTGGCATATCATTAATGCCCACTGAATTGCAGAGAGCTCATTAAATGGATGGAGAGAAGCCTTAAACACAAAGTGATGAGAAGAGAGACATGTAACCAGAGAATGTGAAGCTCAAGGTAGAAACAACCCTGTTGGCTGCAGTGTTGCCGTGTGTCGAGTGCAGACATGTGTGCACGTGCACACACGCTGGGCAAGAGCACACAGCCATGCTGTGTTAGTCTGTCATCCGAGGAGGTTCCCTTGTAGACTAAGAGAATGATGGGTGTTTGCTCGGCAAGTCACTTAAACAAATATGGTAACCCTGAAAAGCACAAAATCCTAAGGAAAAATGCATTTCTGGTCAGTTCATGCCCAAGAAAAGTAGAGTTTGAGAATCAAAAACTTACAAAGCTGAGTGCCTGACCTGAAATCACTAAAGTTTCAGTGAACCCCTTCCTCTCCTGTCTCTCCGTTCCTGTCACACCCTGCCACAGGCTTTCAACCTTACCTACACCTGCAGAAGGCAGACTGACACGCTCTGATAGCCAACTCCTCTAGCCACAGTCCTGGGACTGCAAGTCCTCCTACCCACCTGCATATCTAGCACTTTCTACCCCAACAGTCTGGGATGCTGGGTGTAAATCTTGAGGGAAACAAATGGGGCAGAGTTACAGCTAAGCTGAAACAAGGAAACAGGATAGAAGTGTGTTAGAATGAGTGAGGGGCTTGTTCAACTGTACTCTGGCAAGGTTGGAGTTATGAAACTTGAAATCTAGAGATGATCTTGGCATTGATGAAATTTTCCCCTTTCATTAAGAACAATTTTTAAAATATCAGAATGATGGTCATTTGGGCCACATAACCTGGGAAGGCACATAAGTGAAATTTCTAAAGTAATGGCCAAGTTCTATATCTTGTTAGGCATTTGTTAAATTTCATGGATGTACACCTAAGATTTGTGCATTTATTTTAGGTAAACTTTACACTTAATAATGAAACACAAAATGAAAGTTTAAAAACTGCAAAACATGAAATGTAATGAATAGTCATATTTAGGGAAAATGCATTCATGTCGAGTTTACTTGAAATGTATTAAAAATGGATTGCGTGGGATAGAGAGAGATGTGGCAAGACAAGCAGTGAGATGTTAGTAGCAAAACCTAAATGGTGAGTATAAAAATGTTCACACTTTTTTCATGAAATTTTTCATAAAATGTTGAGAAAAGTTACTCAGTTCTTTAGTTATCAAGCAAATTCCTCCACACTTCTGGGTGCACAGCAATCCTGAGGGCTGTCATGGGGAATATAGAACTGCAAGATATCCTCTACCTTCCAGTCACTGACCTTTCTGGCACAAAATGTGGCCTACCCTCTTCCTCTACATTTTCATAACCAAGCCTATGAGAAAAGAGCACAGGGTGAATATTCAGCAAGTGGGCAGATCTTTGTAACGAAGACTCAACCCTACAGGCTGTCAGGCTAAATTATCAGCCGAAATGATTTTCTGTGCCCAGAGAAGACCCTAAAACTTGGTTTAGTTTTTTTTTTTTTTTTAAAGTGGTAATTCATATAAATAGTTCACATTTAAAAGATTTTTCCACTAATAGCATGACCAATATTTGTCTTGTTTCCACTGATCACAGGGAAAGGGCTCAAACTGTTGAGCCCTAGATATGTTTTGCACACACTGGTTCACATAATCCCGTTAGTCTTTTTTATGAGTCTCATGGTCATGGTACCAATAAATAGTAGATCCAGGACTCAAACCAATATCTTCTCTGCTCAAATCTATGTTCTTTTCATCAAAACACACCCTGACATTTAAAATAGGTCATGTTCTGCAAAGCTTACATAACTACAAGAACAGCAACAGTCATTTGGTCAGGATTTTATAAAATACCACTGGGTAATGGAATAAAATTTTTAAGGGCAGCTTTGTGTTATACTTCAATTGTTTTCACTATAACATCACTCATCAAAAGGTATTTTTAGCAGTTCACACTTCCCACTAGTAATATTGACAAATGTAAGAATACACAACAAGGCATATCTTCTGTAGCTTTAGGGGTGGCAGTTCGGTTTAATGTGATGAAAGGAAAAATATTTTTGATGTCAGAGTATTGGTTGTTTATAAACTGGAATTAAACCCAATTGTCCTTAACAATTTTGCATATCATGTTTAAATCATCAAACCTTCCCCCCCAACGTCAACCCAAGCCGGATTCCTAAATTACACAAACATACTAATCCCCCAGTAGATGGCGCTACTTGGGCTAATTACCGCTTCAGTCCAGCAACTTGTCACAGGTCTTGGTTTCCTAGTAAAACTACAAATATCTGAAGGCAAGTTCTACATGGCAATCAAATAATGCCTTGCATATTACTTGTGGGAAATAATGTAGATGCTTCTTGGTACACATACAAGATTGAGATCTATAACCAGGATTAACAGTGGTTTCTACCGGGATCCTCAGGATTACTCATCACTCTTCCAACTCCACTACTTTTCAATTCTGGCAGCTCTCCTCTAGTCCTTCTCACAAGGAATTGAGTGACAGTAAAGTGGAAGACACTGCAAATGTGTATTTGCTGAAATAAAATCTATTTTAAATTTTTAACAAAAACTTAGGGTAGAAAAGCTTTTTACTTTGATCTACATAGGCTCAGATGAAGCCATGTGACTCCCACTACAGAGATCTGAGATGTCAGCACTACAGTAATTTGAATAATTCTATTTGAACTTAATTCAAAATTTGCCATGCTCACATCTCGAGGCCTTACTCAACTTACTCTGCTCAAGACTACGTGCTTTACCCATCAATTCCATCCTGTGGAGGTACATCCTTCCTAAGTACAACTTTTTCCCAGTACAATCACTCATGTGGTAGCCTCACAAAGCTAAATAGAGACCACTTACTCTAACTCCAAAACTAAGTTATCTGTTAAAGGGAGGCTTGATGGGCAGGAGGTCAGGGATTTCAGGGCGTTTCCAGGGCAGCTCTCCTAGGTCAGTTTTAACCTGTACTTCTAACAACTTCCTGAGAAGTGTCATATAGATGGTTTATATATATATATATATATATATATATATATTTTGACAGGCAGAGTGGACAGTGAGAGAGAGAAAAAGGTCTTCCTTTGCCGTTGGTTCACCCTCCAATGGCTGCTGCAGCCGGCGCACCGCGCTGATCCAAAGCCAGGAGCCAGGTGCTTCTCCTGGTCTCCCACGTGGGTGCAGGGCCCAAGCACTTGGGCCATCCTCCACTGCACTCCTGGGCCACAGCAGAGAGCTGGCCTGGAAGAGGGGCAACCGGGACAGAATCCCGCGCCCCGACTGGGACTAGAACCTGGTGTGCCGGCGCCGCAAGGTGGAGGATTAGCCTAGTGGGCCGCAGCGCCGGCCTTAGATGGTTTATAAACAATGTTTTATTCAACATAGTGAATTCCATGTATTTATTCTGAATCCAATATATATATAGACCAAGAATGCGGATTATCCTTATATATGCAGAACCGAATTTTGGTGAAGGCATGAAGTATTGATGGACTCTTAGAAGACCTGGGATCCATTATGTTCAGCAATGAATCACCCATCATTTTCATGGCTGGCAGAGCCATAGTAAGATTGTGACCTACCATTCTTTTGAAGTTTAAATGTCTACTGGCCAGAATTGTTAAGATCTGCACTTTTCTTTACAACACACCAGACACCTCATCATGGTAAAAAGCTTAGTAACATCTTCGGGTCTAATGTTAATGTGGAAAAAGTGCTAAGTAAATGGTTTGTCAGATGTCTGGATTTGATTTTCTCAGATTTAAGTCTGTGATTTGTGTTTTGACAAACATCAAGCATCTCTCCCTGTAACCCCTTTACCTCCCACGTCTTGTAGACAATTGACCATCTCTTTCCACTAGAAATGTTCGGACTATCAGGGTATAAATTAATCTAAAGAAAAACACACACACACTAGTAATGGGGCACGTAATTCCAAGAATGAGTTAAACTTGGGAAAGTGTTCTGTGTTGACACTACTTCATGCCGTCAGTCGTCTGTCGTTTAGTTCAGTTTGTAGAGCTCTTCCCAAAGCATTAGATAAAACTACCCTGAGTCACGCGCAGCATCAAATGGCTTGGAGCAAACACTCATTATGTTAATGACACCAGGACAGGGAAGTAACTCAGTAATGAAGCTGAAATGTCTGGCCCACACAACATGTAAACTAACAACTGACACTGTGTCTTCAGAATGATGGAAAACTCTCTCAATCTGCCTCAGAGAAAATTGTTTAAGGGTCAGTTAACCACCTTCCCATACTTTCAAAGTTCTCATATCAACTATAATTTTTCACTAACCTCATTTCTGTTTTAGTATAATTCCCTTGGCAATACTCAACCCAGCAATTATTCATTTGAACTGTTAAATGATAAAAATACGAGTGATAAACACTCAGTGCTATATACATTTAGGATTAAATGGTCTTCAAATATTAACAAAAACAACAAAAAAACCCACTTAACTAAACCTGATACACTACAGGAAAACCTGAATGTTGAAAAGCCTGCAGGAAGTGTGCTATAGCCTTCACTGTTACCTATCATTTGAAACATTATACATGTCACAATTGAGTATCACTATAATAGCAACTCCCCCCAGAACCTGCCCAGACAAGGGTTAGCTGGTTTGGTCACACTTCAACCCACTGCAGACCCATTCTTTAGATATGATACAGGGGCCCAATCCTAGTAGACTGTATTTCTATACTAAATGGTCTTTGTATTCAGTTGGTGGTGTTTAAACGTAGTTCAAAGATGACAGCCAAAGGCACCAGGAAAGAGGAAGGTGGAAAATTTTCTTCCTCTTAATCTCTTGATGAGTGTTGTCCAAGCAGATGGTTAAGGCAAACAGTCATTATGGATTATAACTCACTTTGCTTTGGTTTTGAAGATTTCCCTTAAGAAAAAAGAAATTTGTTAATAAATAATAACACAGAACAAGGCTAAATTATTGAGGCAAATGTCAATGCAATCCCAATATGAAAGGGTGACAATACTTCTCTCACTTCTGCATTTTTTTTCCTTATAGGTGATTAGACAACAAATGTTTGCTGAATTATTGTATGCTAGAAACCATTCTTTCTTACTCGGAAATTTTAACTCCTACTGCTGACTTATTTTCATAGTTTTGGAATCTAAGACTCAGTGAGAAAGATCTCAAGCACGCCAGGATCAAAAGCCTAGCAATCCGTGATATTATGCTCATTTTCCAAAACTCCAAAATTATTTTAGGATCACCTTTAATACTATATTCTCCCGGGGATGGCGCTGTGGTGCAGTGGGTTAACGCCCGGCCTGAAGCACTGGCATCCCATATGGGCACCAGTTTGAGTCTCCGCTGCTCCACTTCTTATCCAGCTCTCTGCTGTGGCCTGTGAAGGCAGAAGATGGCCCAAGTCCTTGGGCCCCTGCACCTGCGTGGGAGACCCAAAAGCTCCTGGCTTCAGATTGGCACAGCTCCCGCCATTGCAGCCAATTGGATAGTGAACCAGCAGACGGAAGACCTCTCCCTCTCTTTGCGTAACTCTGACTTTGAATAAGTAAATCTTTGAAAAAAAAAAATACTATATTCTCCTACAAATAAAAGTATTGCTTGTATCTCCATTTAGTTTTTTAAGTTATATACTATTGTATCTCCATTTAGTTTTTTAAGTTCTATACTAAAGAAACCAAAAAAATAAATAAAAGTTATGTACTAGGGCCAGCATTGTGGTATAGCAGATTAAGCCACTGCCTGCAATGCTGGTATTCCACAAGGCACCGGTTGGAGTGCCAGCTGCTCCACTTCTGATGCAGCTCCCCGCTAACCACCTGGAAAAAGCAGTAGAAGATGGGCCAAGTGTCTGGGTCCCTGTCACCCTTGTAGGAGATGGAGATGAAGCTCCTGGCTCCTAGCTTCAAACTGGCTCAGCCATGGCTGCTGCAGCCATCTCAGGGGAGTGACCCAGTGGCTGGAAGATCTCTCACTCTTCCTTGCTCCCTCTTTCTCTATCAAACAAATAAATCTTTAAAAAAAATAAAGTTATATACCAATTGGTTGTTTAATTCTCAACATCTATACTCAAGAAACATTCTATCCCAACCTCAAATAACTTAAGAATAATCTTGAAATGTGCAAAAAACTTAAGTCACAAACTCAAAATAATTAAATTACGATATATAAAACCAGATTATGAAACTAGTCTAGACCATAAACTTAAGACTATTCAATATTTTGTCTACCCCTTAACATTTTCCAGTGTCTAATACATACTAAATATTGAAATATTTGTAGATACTCTGAATTTGAGCAAATAATTGTCACAAATTTTCTTAATTCAGACACTATAAATTTCAGAAAACAAGTCTTTTTTCAAATTTCAAATCTGAAAATTTGAATTTCAAAACAAATTATGCAACATGCAGTTAAGCAATCACCAGGTTGATGTCATTACAACTTTTTACACTGAGATGTAGTGGCTCTCCATTCAAAGACTGGGCAAAATTAGGTAGGTCTGTTAACAGTAATGCAGTTTTTATTCAAGAGATAATATTCAAGATGAATTTAATTCTAACAAAGGAAAAATTTACCAGTTATCCACTCCTACAAAAAGTAAAAAGTAGAAATGGGTACCATTTATAGCACATAAATAAACTCCTTCTTTACATTTCTGAATAAGGCTGTAATTGCTTCTTTGAGAGTCATTAACTTTTTCTAATAAGGCTATGTGAATTGTGGTTAGAAACTCTGACCACACACATACACACATACCCACACACACACACACACCCCTCTCAAATAAAGTGCCTAGATACTCCGCTGTGGCTCAGTATCTCTTCAGTGTCTAGGATCTGTAACTTAAGACTGTATATTACCACATGAATTCAACTTGAGTAACTTTTACTGTGATGGCCACTACAATTACTTTTAAAATAATTAGATCAACATTTGTTATGACTTTGTAACTCCTTCAAATTGTACTTTAATCTTTAACACGGTAGTTTCAAAATATAAATATTCAAGGATTCAGTTTTAAATTTCCCTTCAAGTTTGGTAACAAATGTTAAGAGCACTACCCTAATTTAAGGAAAAGTAGCATTCTTCTAAAAATTACTTGTTACTGTACAGATCACATCCTACCCCGTAATTCTGATAAAGAATATGATTTTTTGGTAAAACAAGAATTTAGGATGATTCAATCCTTGGAAACATTTTAGTACTAGTCACTCAATGAAGAAGTCAATTATTCCTGAAGTCACAAATATTCAAAACACTGCATTAACCAGGTTTGTGTGGGATTTTGTCTTTTTGATGTGGTATTTTTCTTTCTTTTTTTTTTTTGGTAGTTATTGCTTTAGTTGGCAATTATCTGAATGTGAGACAAAAGAATATCTTCCACTAAGCCTTATGTTAATATTACAAAATTTATACAGATAGACAGACTCATAGAGGCTATAAAGCTGATGTCTTAAGTAACTCACCCATGAAATGGGTGGTTTTTTAGAGGATAGCCAACGTTTTTGTTCTAAAAATAAATGCCCCTACTTTTCAGAATGTTCCCATTCTTCAACAGAAGACTTGAGCAGCTTAACAGGTTTTGCTATAAAAACAAATCCCTCTTCTTAACAAACTGAAAATGGAAAAGGAAACCAAAAAAGTACACAGTTTTCACAGTTAACAATAAATAAAAGTGCAGTAAGTGTTCAAGTAGAACATGTAGCTTAAGAACTACATGCGAATATTTGGCATAGGTCATCTTTTAAAGGCTCTCCGAGGGTCCCTGCCATTACTTATTGTGGTCATGACTGTTTGGTTATTGGCTGTTCCTGGCAGCTGTGGATTTATAGGTCCCCGGCCATTGCTTCTACCAGCATATGAAAACTGGTATCCCCGTGACTCAGGGCCAGGTTGAATACCATTTCCTAAAAAAAGAAAAGAAGAAAAAAATTCATCTCTGTTTTCATGGTCTATATAAGGTAATGTACATGTATTTGAAGTTATAAGACACTACTGATGCTCATAAATAATATTAGGGAAAATAAACACGTTAGTTTTCTACTACCAAAAAATGTGGGTTCTAGGTTTTTCCAAATAGTATATACAACACTGAAAATGCATTAACTTGATGCTGCATTGTAGTGAGAGGGAGAAAAAGTCAACTCGGGCAACAAAATAAGAAACAGAGTAGAAAAAAAGCATATGATACACTGTCTACACTTTTTGGATCAAAGAAAAAGAAATGTTAAAATAGTACAGTATTTGCCTTAGATATGATTAAATATTTCAAAACAGTGTGATTCTTTTTTTTTTTTTTTTTTTACAGATAATGTAATTCTAATCAAAGCAAACACAGCAAAGTATCCCATAATATGACTGATGATGACTGGTTGTGCTAGACATGCTATGAGGTCAAATAAAACACAGGTCACCTTAATTAACCCCAGTCACAAAGATTCTTTCCCAGTTACTTAAGAATAAGGCCTTGGGAAGAACTCCAGTAACTGAAAGGACCATTAACATCAAATTCCAGGAGTTATCTTTTAGGGGCCAGTGCTGTGGCATAGCAGGTTAGCTGCTGCCTACAGTGCCAGCAGCCCATCTGGGCACCAGTTTAAGATCTAGCTGGTCCACTTCCAATCCAACTCCCTGGTAATGTGCCTGGGAAAGCAGCAGAGGATGGCTCAAGTGCTTAGGCCCTTGAACTCATGTGGGAGACCCGGAAGAAGCTCCTGGCTCCAGCCTGGCCCAGCCCTGGCCATCTGGGGAGTGAGCCAGTGGATGGAAGATCTCTCTCTCCTTTCTTTCTCTGTAATGCTGCCTTTCAAATAAATAGATAAAGCTTTTTAAAAAAATAATCATTTAAACAGGCAGCCACTATGTGAAAAATTGTGGTATTAATTAATTCTACATCACTATAACTAAAGATAACAGACTTTCAGTTAATCAAAATAAGCAATAACTCTGTATGTACCTGTTATAATCAGTCATTAGATTACACATTTTATAAGAATCAACAGAAAAATAACATGCACATTCTAATAGAAATAAAAATTTAAGATTTCTCATTAGTTACCCTATTTCCTCCCTAACTGCTCCAAAAACTAAATATGGAAGGTACACAATAATTTGGCTTAAGAGGGTACCTGGTTTCTGTAAAATCAGATCAGTTATTTGACTATTTCCTCCAAGCTAGTAGTTCACATTCAGTGCCATAAGGACATTTCTTTCCTTTAAGCCTTTCATAACTCCCTCAATACACACTTGATCACAAATATGCCAAAAAAAATTCTTACCCACTGGTCCAAATGTACCTGTACCCATATTACTATTCATGGAATTATTCTTCTGTTCACTGTGTGCCTAAAAAGAGTTTTCAATATTACCAAATGAAGATAAAAAGAACATATTTATATTACAATATTATATCCATCCTAAGTTCTTTTAACAACCAATTTTTTTAAAAATTTGCTCAAGTGTATCCAGTGCTAAAACTTTTCATAGCTCCTGTTACATCCTATTATATTCCCTGATATTCCCCACTTCAGAAAGCACTAAATAGAACTAGTATATGATGCTATATATATACAAAACCATAAAATATGTATAATAAAAAATAAAGATTCTTTTAAAATTTTCTTCATTATACTCCAAATATCACAGGGTTAGCCTAATGATGGAACTATAATACACAATCGTTAGCCTGCACTATATATTTGGATTAATTACCCCTTTGTTCTGCTGTCCTCGATAATCTGGATTGGGTTCACTGAAATTTGGCACTTCTGAGTAAACCATACAAAACCTGAAAATAGAAGACAGGTTAAGTTACTTCTGAAATTAATTAACCTTTCTTTAAATGACACCCTTAACTACGGGAATGAAGAATTTAAGCGTCAAATGAATTCTTATTAGCAATGTCCTAACTATTCATTTATAACAAAAACTTCCTGAATTACCGCACCCCAGAAAAACTTCAAATATTTGTCTACAACACACAAAACATTCTATTTTGTGTTTAAATTCTTCTTTTGTACTGCAAAACATAAATCATGTCAAAGATGAAGGACACAGAAACACATCAACAAAGATGAAGGACACATCTCTGTCCCGCTTTTCCACACAGGCTGGTTCCAGTGAACCATGTTTAGGGTCCGGGGTGGTTTCTGCAGCAGTGGTGATGGATTTGCACTGACCCATTCACACACTGTCATCCAGGCCCTCTTTTGATCAATCACTGTGAATCTGCAAAGATAATCATTCAAGGTTATGAGCGGATGCTAGACAAGAAAGACAACTGGCTATCAAGCCACCAGTTTATCCCAGTGCTTCCTGTAAGTTTACTGCATGGTGCATACTAACATGACACACAAGCATTGTCTTAGTTCCTTCTCCTTATTAAAAAGAAAAAAGTACTAGATCTGGTAATTCCTAGACTGACCCTGACAAAGAGCAGTGATCTCCAGTGGTTCTTCACTGTATTGACCTCTATCACAAATGCCTCTGAATGCAGAAACATAAGAACTGCATCCTCAGCCCTGGGTACACTGAGGCAAGAACTTTTCTAACACTTCTCTAAACACAAACCGCAGCAAATCCTAATTTTCCTCCTAGTGAAGGCAAGGTGCTACATCCGCAGTCTGAACTTTAAGAGCTGGTAACCTGTGTGTGTGTGTGTGTGTGTGTGTGTGTGTTTTTTTTTTCATTAAAATGAGTTCTTCAAACTAAAGCTATCTCATGAACTCAGTGTGAGGTCTTTGTTGTTTTGGTGCCACTGTGGCTTCTTTCTTTAAATATCCTCCAATTTGATAAGCAGTAAGTAGATGTCTGAACGTTACCAAATAGAATGAACTCATCTTCTGGCTCATGGCCCATACCATACTTTGTAATACAACCAAAATGTCTAGGCTAGCATGGAGGCTGAATTACCTTTACACCCTTAGAGAGGATGCTTCCTCCAGGTCAGGGTGGAGATCATTACCAGGGTAGTAGTGTACGGAAGCTCGCATTGCGGCTGCCTGCACCGTACCTAGACTGTGGATAAATAGAGGACCTCAGTTTTCATTGCTGCAAGTCCTTTCAACCAGAGTACAAATTCACCCATAAACAGAAAAAAAAATGTAAACGTAGAGCCTGAAACTCAAATCTCACTTATCTGGCAAACCTCTAAGAGACAGAGCCTACTTCCAATGACACCTGAAAGATACATGTTTCCAAATTCTACACAAAGGGCCACACTGGAGCTGGTCCCAACTGCAGCTTCTTACTGCTCTTTGCCAGGAGAAATTAACTTTCCCAGCCACAGGACAGCATATGCATGCACTACAAACTCGTCAAAGAAAGTATACGCCTTAAAAAAAGGGGAAAAAAAAAAGCTGAGGAAGCATTTATAGTTTATACCTACCAATTATTCTGTAGACAGTATTTGCAATTTATTCAACTATACAAAATTGCATTTTAATACTTACTCCCCAATTTTTTGAAGTTCACCGCCCCTTCCAGTATACAGTGTTAGACATCCTTTCCACATGGATGCATACCTACCGAAGAAAATAAATTAGGTTTTTAGAATTATGTATATTTTTATCTATTTAAATCAAGTAAATCTTCACACTATTTTTGGGAGAGGGGTGAAGCGGATATCAAGCCCTCTGTCTACCACAGTAAATAAAATATATCTAACTTTGATTAACTTGCTACTTACTAAAGAATACAAAGAAAATTCTACAGCCAAACAGTGACACAATTATCAACTATAATTAACCCTAGAAAATAACAAAATCTTTTGCACGTAACAAGCAATTGTTATTCCCAAAATAATCTCAACTTTATAGTCAATTATCAAAAGGAAAGCTTTTAATTACTAGGAATTTAAGCAGAAATTATTTTTAAGTCACAAAAAACAGAATCAATGCTATAATGTTTACTTTTATACTCATTTACATGATCCAGTAAAATACTGACATAACAGTTTTAGGTACAAGGTTGCCAAGCTATTGAAGACTTAGCATAATATAATCAAGTTGCTTTTAAAAACAAAAACAAAAAACAAACAAAACACCACTCGCGAGCGCGCGCACACACAAAAACTAAAGTTAAAAATCTTTCACACAGCTGTTTTCAAAATTTGCATCTTTCACATCTGCTTTCAAAATTTATAAATTTCCATAGCAACCTGGCAGAAAAACAAGTGTTTACTCATAACAATTCTGAATGCAGATGACATCATTAAATAATTCTATATACGAAACTAAGAAAAATGTAATCAATATCATAAAATCAGTCCAAGTTTTGTTTTTCCAGGTTCCTTGTACAACTCCTATGGTAACTTCATGACTTTATCAACTAAAGAGTTGAACCAAATAAAGTGAAGTTCATCTTAAAAGATATATACTAAAATGAAGTTTGCTAGTTTCACATTATAAAGCTCTTTTCATTTTAATGAGTTATTTTTTAAAGGCTCCATTCATAGTTCTTAAGTTACACAAAGTGATTGAGACTATGCATTATCACTTCACCTTACTAAAGTAAAAATGTGCATTTTGATTTAAAAAATTTGTTAATTTAACTTTGGTTTGTTTTAAAGAATGAGCATGCTGAAATCGAGTTTGCAGAGTTTCCTAATAAGCATGTCAATATTCAAACTAAGCATTGTCCTAGGTATGCCCTACTTCAACAGCCACTCTTAGGATTCCCAAGAACTTGAGGGCCTTACAACGGGCCAGACTCCAAGCAGTGTTATTTTAGTATTTAGGGTCTAATTATTTCCACTGTACACAAGCAGATGTATTATGGAGATGTAGTAAGTTCTCAATGTCAAAACTTCTTTAGTTTTGAATCTCCCTTTGAGTTGTATTCTTTGGTAATTGTGCTCCTTAAAATCTGATAAAAACTATGGTACCAAATTTAATTTTTGACAAATTTTTTGATGAAAATATCCATTATATGTAAATTTGAAACAGATGCTGTTTTCAGAAAGATATCTGGAGGGTTGGGAAACTTCCAAGTTATGCTAATCTTCACCACAACCTCCCAGATAGGGACTTTTCTGTTTAGGTTGAAAAGACATAATTAGTGTCTTGAGTCAGAGGATGAGAATAAAATGTCAAAGGGCTGACTCTCACTTCCTGCTTTGCTGATACTCTACCTCACTTCCTGCAGATGTTGTAAGGCCTCTAAGATACCATCTACACTCAGCTTCTACTTACTAGATCTCCACCAATTTCTCCTGAAGTGACTGATGACTGAAAACTACTACAATTCTATGGGTCCTCAACACCTTCAAATTCTACCTTCTAGTTCTAGTTCCTCTCTTGGCCTTTTATCTTCCTAAGATACAGATCTGGTGAATTTCTGAAAGCAATCTTTTTAAAAAAAGGGGGGGGGGGGTGACTCAGTTGTTAAAGCCACCGATCTGCAGGCTGAGACTTCTGGAAGAAGGTATCACAGATGTCTTCCTGCCAAACACCTTCCTGGTGACATTCTGGTTTCTGTACAACCCTGCCCTTACATTGTAAGACACAAGAAATGGTTTTTGACACTGAGCCTCCAAGACATTGCAAAATTCCCATCTTATGTTGTTCCAAGTACAAATGTGACACACAGAAAACGGTAAATCCCACAGGTACATTTTTTACTTGTGTCCACATTGTCTCAATAAGAAAGTGAAACATGGGCAGGAAAAATGGAGGGGCGGGGACAACTGTACCGGCTTAAATAACTTACAAAAAAGCGAAAGCACAGGCTCTAACAGTCTACTAAAAAAGACTCAATGACTCCCAGGAGAGTTTTTAAAATACAACCATCCCATAAACTCGGGGGTGCAGTGGGTGGCCGCTGTGGCCTGCAACTGCCAAGGTGTGCTACAGCCCACACAGTCCACGTTAACTCCCAAGGGGCTCCCAACTCCTCAGCACTGCTGAGACCCAGGAGCTGGCCGACCCCGACAGCGCTCCCTGCTCCTCGTGCCCAGCCCACTTGGAAGCACACCTACCCTCTGGTCAACCGAATTATATCCCCTGGCTGTATGAGACCTCCGATCTCATCCCACACGGAAATAGTGATGCTGCCCGTTTTATCTGCTACTTTGCACGATCTCACTTCATGGCCGTCTTTGGTTTTGGTCACGCGTCCTGTGAGGATTTAAAAATCGAAAAGGGGGAAGGAGTGTGTTAGCGAACGAGGTCGTCCAGAAGGGGCTCTCTCACTCCTCCTACACTGGACGCCGGGTTCTGGCCGCAGGTAGGACCCGAGCCCGGGAGGAGGCCACCGGGGCCACGTGGGTGGGGGAGGGGAGGAGAGGGCGCCGCGGGGGAGGGGAGTCCGGCGCTCCCGGCCCCGGGGCGCCCCGAGGGCGGTGGACCCCACTTACCTATCTCCAGCACAATAAAGACGACATTTAAGTTTTTCAGTCCGGGCTTAATATCTTTTATAAAAAGAGGCGGGTCGTTGACCCCATTCATATTGAGGCAGGTGCGGCTACGGCTGCGGAGACACCCGCAGGCAGGGCGGGGACGCGGCTTCCCACCCTCCCGGGACAGGGGCGACCTTGGGCGGGGGTGGCGAGAAGGGGCAGAAAGCGGTTATTCAGGGACCGGGGGACCAGCCCGCACGGCACTCAGCCTAAAAAAAAAAAGAAAACGAAAGAAAAAAAGCGCTCACAAGTTCAAAAGAAAAAAAAAAAAAAAGACGAACCACTCCCACCAACCCCACTCCCAACCCCGCGACAGGAAGGCGAGCGTGCGAACTGCCCCTATCTTTGGATAAAAGAAAAAAAGGCAGCGAGGGACACCTCTGCCCTGAGTCCCACTCCCACACGGGCGCGCGCCCAGTCTGTCCCCGGGCTCCGGGAAGGGACGGACTGTGACAGCAACACCGGAGCGCAGGACAGAGACACTGCGCAGCCAGCGTCCCACACAGCAACTGCGGAACGCGCCCGCGCGCCGGCTGCTCCCCCCGGGCCGCCCCGCCCCTTATGACGTCAAACAGCGCCGGCACGCCCGCCGCCACGCCCGCCCGGCGCGGGGGAGGGGAAACTAAGGGGCGAGAACAGGCCCCTGACGCCGACGCGGCTTCCGTCGCTCCTCCCCCAGGGGCCGTCAGCGCGGGCCCCGCCCCCTCGGCCCTCCAATCCGCTCTCGGCCCCGCCCCGCCCGCTCTCCTCCCGCCCCCGCCGTCGCGGCGTAGCGTCAGGTCTGCCCTGTCTCGGTTTCCCTGGGTGGCGTTCTGCTGCGGGCTCGCGAAGTTCAGGGACTGCCTGCTTTGTAATTCCGCCGGCGGTGTTCGGGCCCTCGCCCCTGACCTTTAGTCCCGCGGTCACAGGGAAGGGTTGGGTTTAGGGAGCGGTGGCTACGAAGGCTGTGCAGCCGAGTTGTGGCAAAGGGTGGCTGGTCCCGGACGAACGGGAAACGGGCTCGAATGGTGAGGAGGGGTCTGTGGTTACAAGGCTGCGATTTTAAAACCAGAGGGAGCTAGGAAATCAGTCCAGCCGTCTGGTGCTAAGCATGTTTTAGTTGCGATCCGGAAGGGTGAGGTACTTTGCCGAGGGTCACCCAGCAACTTGAGAGCAGGCCGACTGCAACGCAAACCGACCCAGTCCCCTGCCTGTCACTCAAACGCTGGAGGTTACAATCCTTAGAGTGACGTTTCCTGTACCCCTTGCTCTCTCAGATGACACTCCCGCACTCTGCTCTTTGGAAACCCTGAAACATACCCTGGGGTGGGAGTAAAAAGAAAGTGAATGAGGCTTGCTTTGTGCCACGTACACATGTGCTTTAGGGACAATTCCGGGTTCAAACTAGTCAGTGGTTATGTGACCTTTAGGAGAAATGGTGAGGCTTCCTAGCCATGATTTCATCATCCGAAAAATGAGATGAGGAACATTGCTTTACAGAGGATCAAGTGGGATCTTAAACTGTCCGACTAGTGTCCAGCAAATAGTAGATGCTCAATATTTTTCCCTCGCCAATTTTTTGTTATTGAAAAAAAAAAAGACATTAGTACAGTAACAGCTTAAACTGTGATGGTTTAATCTTGTAACTACTTTACGTGGTGACTGCTCATTTTAATCCTCATTTACAGCTGCTGTAACTTGACCGCAGAGCTAGAGAATGGCCAAACTGGGCATTTAATCCAAGCAGTCTTCATCCAGGAGCTCTCCATCCTGCAGGTAATTTTTAGACTTACATAGTGGCAGCAGCAGGATGCATTGTAGGACTTCTAAAGAATCTACTTAACTATTTGTGATGGTAAGGAAACTGTTAGGGAAGCCTCAAGAAGCCTTAAGCCCCTCCCTCTTCTGAATATTTTTAAGTCAACTTCTACTCCCCAAACATCTACAAACAGGCACTACAGGCTAGCCCTACCAAAAGGGCTTCAAAAATATTCACATTACCATGAGTTGAGACATTTCTTAAGGAAGCAGAAACTTCCATTTCATAAACAAGTAAGTCCCAGCGTGCCAAAGCCACTGACGTAATACTGGAAAGTGGTGTAAAATAACATTATTATCTTGAATTCAACATCAAATAAAATAAATGATGCAACTGACAGAATCAGAACCAGCATCCAGCCTCAGGGGTTGTCTGATTGGACTCGACGCTTCAATTCGATTATCCTCAAGCTGTATCTTAATTTTAGTTATTCTTTTTCAAAATTATGTCTTTTAGCCCACAGAAAACATTCTCATTGAAGGGAAATTTAAGTAAGTCCCCCTTTTTAAGGTTTGATAAGATCTTAAAGAGATTAAGAATAGACAGGATACCAATTAAGACTGTGGAACAGAGTAGTAACAAAGAGGCTGGGAAAACAAAGTTAGCCACTCCCTGAACTGATTACAGGGGCATTTTATAAAGAGGAACTAGGAGCTTAGGAAACCAAGCCCCAGGAAAGCAGAAGTTGGCCTTCTCTTCCTCCCTCCCCACAGGACGAACTCAGCTGATCATCTGCTTCCCCCCTAATTTAGCAGTTATCAGGAAATGGCAGCTGGGTGCTTTCTCATCACCCCAACTGAAGACAGCCTTGAAAAGCAAGATGCTTTGGGCAGGACGGGAACTCTTCAGCCCAAGCTAGTTGGTTTCAGCTAACCCCAAAACATTCTCCAAAGGTAGCAGTTAAAAAAAGAAAAAGAGATGTCAGGAACTATTGCTATGCAGATGGTCTTTCCTGATATGACCATTCAGTGAAATAAAGCAATCTGTCACTCAGCCTACTCAGTGAGGTCATTGTAATGATGTTGCTGATTCTCCATAATGAATTCACAAGACTACTTCACGTTCTTCCTTCTAAGGCTGTTAATCTTCGGGTCTTTTCACAGCCAAAACATAAGCCTGTTTGGAAACGATAGACTCTTCTACTTTATGCCCAGGTGTTGCCTAGGGCTTTGGGTACATCAGTTAATTCTCCACTTGAAACACCCACATGGCCTATCAGAGTGCCTGGTTCGACTCCTGGTTCCACTCTCTATTCCAGCTTCCTGCTAGTGAGCACCAGTAGGTGGTGGCTCAAGTTTTTGGGTTCCTGCCATCTACACTGGAGTTCTGGTTTGATTTCCAAGTGCTATGTTCTTGTCTTTGACCTGGCTGAGCTCTGGCTCTTACAGGTATTTGAGGAGTGACCCAAGAAATGGCTCATTCTCTCTCTCTCCATCTCCCGTTTCCTCTTGCTCTCTCCCTTTAAAGTAAAATGAAAATAAATATATAAAATTAAAGATGTTGCTTAGTGACATCTAGTATTGTACAGAAGGGTCCCCATTAGAATCCAGTACCTGTAAGAGTCTGGATACTGAGATTCTCATTAATAAAGGTTTTATTGTAAATTTTGCTCAGCAACCAGGACCCATGCTCACTTCCAAGTGCTGGTTCTTGGGATTATGAAGATCATTTTTAACTTGTCCATGTATTTAAAACTATTACAACAACTAATATTAAAAACAGCTCAAGAACTACTATTTGATACACTTCAGCCTGCATGGTGAAACTCACAATAAATATATTGTTAAGAACCACAGCACTCTCACATTATGGAGATAATCTACTTTGTAACATAATTGACCAGGTTTTTTCTTAAAAACATTTAACTAAAAGATTCAGAAGTAATGTGTAGTAATGATTGCAACAATAGCCACACAAATCATAAGGATGAATGCCAGTACATGGATCATTTGCTGTGTGTCAAGTATTTTACACTTGTAAGCACTTTCCACATATTAATATATTACTTAATAATTAATGTGTGTGAAGTGATGATTCTCATTTTACAGTAAGTTATGGAACTGGGATTTAAAACCAACTGTCATGTGATAATTCTCTTTTAGAACAATTTATATGCCCTCAAAAGTGGATTGCTGTGTTCTAAGTGAGTAATAGAATTTTTGAAAGGCTTTGTAATCAGTCACATGTTGTCTGATGGTACAGTGCAGTGGTATCTGCTTATGAGGAAAAACTTAATGTTTCCTTGTGAAGAAATGCATCCCTGGGTGAGTTAATCCAACTCAGTTGCATTTTTGGTGTTTTTTTTTTTTTTAATACAGTGAACAACTTTGGCTTCTTCATCTTAAAAAGCTACTTCCAAGTATATTAGACCTCTACCTACCTGGAGTGTTTATTCAAATGAAAAATATCCAGAATATTATTGGCAACTGAATTAATTGAAGGCTGATTTTCTTAAAAATATACGTATTTATTTATTGGTGGCAGATTTATTTATTTATTTATTTTTATTTATTTTTATTTTTTTTGAGAGGCAGAGTGGACAGTGAGAGAGAGACACAGAGAGAAAGGTCTTCCTTTGCCGTTGGTTCACCCTCCAATGGCCGCCGCAGCCGGCGCGCTGCGGCCAGCGCACCCCGCTGATCCGATGGCAGGAGCCAGGAGCCAGGTGCTTTTCCTGGTCTCCCATGGGGTGCAGGGCCCAAGCACCTGGGCCATCCTCCACTGCACTCCCTGGCCACAGCAGAGAGCTGGCCTGGAAGAAGGGCAACCGGGACAGAATCCAGCGCCCCAACCGGGACTAGAACCCGGTGTGCCGGTGCCGCAAGGCGGAGGATTAGCCTAGTGAGCCGCGGCGCCGGCCCGGTGGCAGATTTATTATTGGAGAATATGTCATGGCCCTCAAAAGTAACGAGATGTAGAAAATGCTGCAAATTACATGTACAAAGAAAACATGAGGCCGGTGCCGCGGCTCAATAGGCTAATCCTCCACCTAGCGGCGCCGGCACACTGGGTTTGAGTCCCGGTTGGGGCGCTGGATTCTTTCCCAGTTGACCCTCTTCCAGGCCAGCTCTCTGCTGTGGCCGGGGAGTACAGTGGAGGATGGCCCAGGTGCTTGGGCCCTGCACCCCATGGGAGACCAGGAGAAGCACCTGGCTCCTGCCTTCGGATCAGCGTGGTGTGCTGGCCACAGCGCGCCGCCCGCGGCCACCATTGGAGGGTGAACCAACAGCAAAGGAAGACCTTTCTCTCTGTCTCTCTCTCACTATCCACTCTGCCTGTCAAAAAAAAAAAAAAAAAAAAAGGCATGAAAGGGGCTGGCGTTGTGACATAGTGGGTTAAGCTGCTCCAGTTAAGATCCAGCTGCCTGCTAATGCGCTTGGTAAAGCAGCAGAAAAGATGGTCCAAGTCCTTGGGCCCCTGCACCCACTTGGGAGACTTGGAAGAAGCTCCTGGCCCCTGGCTTCAGCCTCCCCGACACCACTCCCCCCCGAGCTGTTGCAGCCATTTGAGGAGTGAACCAATGGATGGAAGATCTCTCTCCTCTCTTTTTCTCTCTTCTCTCTCTCTCTCTCTTTCTCATTCTGACTTTCAAAAAAATAAAAACCTTTTAAAATTTTTTGAAAGCACGAGAAGACTTCTGTAGGATCAAAAATCTTTCTCATATTGTTTATCTAATGCTTCAAAATGTTTTAACTACTGTTTGCTG